ATATATATATATATATATATATATATATATATAAGCAAATAAATTAATAAATAAATATGTAAATATATACATGAGGATTATTTTGACTTTTTTTTGCAATTGGGTTTATATCTCTTTTTTTTGTTGATATCTCTTTCTTTGTTTTTGTCTGTCTCTGTCTCTGTCTCCTTTTATCTTTATCTCTTATCCTGTCTGTGTTTATCTGCGTTTCTTTGCTTCTCTCTCTTTATATTTATATCTCTTTCTTTGTCGTTCTCACTCTCCCTTTCTGTATTTGTTTCTGTCTCTCTATCATTCGTGCATGCATGCATGCATAATGCATGCATGCATGCACATTGTATGTGCTGATGCATGCATGCATGCATGCATGTTTTTTACATTGATTATTATGCATAATGGATGCATGCATAATGCATGCATCCATAATCATATAGTATGTTTTGATTATGCATGGATGCATGCATGCATGCAAGGATATATATAGTATGTGCTGATGATGTATGGGTGCAGGTATTAGGTTTGGCTGACCATTACACTCTGACAACGCTGAAGCGTTTCTGTGAAGGTATTTTATGCTCAGCTTTATCTTTATCTTCTGTTTGTTTGCTGCTGCGCTGCGCTGACCGTCATCAAGCCAAGCATTTAAAGCAAAAGTGCATGCAGTTTGTATTTGCACACTGTGATCTAGTTGTGCGTACACCCCAGTTCGAAGAACTCCTTGCTGTACCTTCTCTAGTAATGGAGATTGCTAAGATCAGCCTCACAAGCAACAAACCTACTAATCCTGCTGCTGCTGCTGCTGCTGCAGCAGCTGCTGCAGCAGCAGCAGCACATGCGCATGCGCCAGCAGCCATTGACAGGCATGCTGCAGCAGCAGCAGCAAATGCAGCACAGATAGACTCAGATTAGTAATAATAATAAATGCAAATCCAAACTAACTAAACCATTATTTCGCTGCTGCAGCAGCAAAGCTGCTGCAGCAGCACTTGCTCCTGCTGCTGCTACTTTTTGCTCCAGTGGCAGTTGCTGCTGCTGCTGCTGCAGTAGCACTTGCTGCTCCTGCTGCTGCTGCTCCGGTAGCAGTTGCTCCAGCTGTTGCTGATCCAGCTGCACTAGCCGTTGCCCCTGCAGCAGTAGCAGCGGCGGCAGCAGCAGCAGCAGCAGCAGCACCTCTTAGTGTTCTCATGTTGGGGCTTGCAGCCTCGCGTCCTCGAGGGCCTTGATTAAGGGGTCATCTGGGGTGTACAGGGAACTCTGCAGCAGTTCATCTATCTCCTGCTGCAGCGTTGCAGCGATGTTCGTTACGCAGCTGCTGCTGCTGTTGCTGCTGCTGCTGTTGCTGCTGCTGCTGCTCGTGTCCTTGTGATGAGGGGGAGCCTCCCCAAGCGCATCTTTCCGCTGCTGTTGCTGTTGCTGCTGCTGCTGCTGCACATTGACAGCGGGGGCCACGTTCTCCGTTGCAGCGGTAGCCAGCCGCTGCTGCTGCTCTTGCTGCTGCTGCTGCTGCTGCAGCACGTGACTGAGTGCTTCCACCTCCTGCTGCACTGCCTGCAGCTTCTGTTCGAGCTCAGCCTCCCACGGGGCGGGGATCAGCTCCCTCTGCAGCAGCAGCAGCAGCAACAGCAGCAACATCGCAGCGAAGGGTTTGGGGTTTGCTTGGGGTTTTGCTGCAGCAGAGCTTCAGCAGCTCCAGCCGTGTGAACGAGTTTAAACCCTAAACCCTAAACACTCGGCGTTTCTGCATGTGCTATGAAGGCGTATTAGGGTTTGGTGGGGCTGGGGGAGGGTTTAGGGTTTAGGGTTTACTTACCTCTTTAGCTGCTTGAAGCTGCTGCAGCAGCAGCGAGCAGTTCCTAAGGAAGTGATTCCTTGAGGCCGTCATTGCATCAAGTTTTTGTGCTAAGTCCTGAGCCTGAGGTGTACATACACCTCAACCCCACAACTCTATTTCAACATACTGCATGCAGTATACCCCCAGCACGCCAAACTGCCACGAGGGTTTAGGGTTTAGGGTTTAGTCCTGGCAGCCTATCACACTGGATGGGTTCACTAGGGTTTGGGGTTTCATTGGGGCGTACAGGGCTTGATTAGGGTTTAGGGTTTCATGAGGGTTTAGGGTTTGGTTGGGGTGTAGGGTTTGATTAGGGTTTAGGGTCTGACTAGGGTTTAGGGTTTCCCTATCAGGGTATGATTAGGGTTCAGGGTTTGATTAGGGTGTACGGTGTGATTAGGGTTTAGGATTTAGGGGTTAGTTAGGGTTTAGGGTTTAGGGTTTAGGGTTTAGGGCTGCACTTGGTATGTCTTGAGCTGCAGCTGGGCCTTCAGCTGCGCCACGGGGGACTCGCAGAGTTCTCTCCTGCAGTTAGCTGCTTCTGCTTCTGCTGCTGCAGCACGAGCAGCAGCAGCAGCAGCAACAGCGGAAGCTTTCTCCAGCTGCTGCTGCAGAAACCTGAGCAAGCAGAACCCCCAGCAGCAGCAGCAGCAGCAGCAGCAGCAGCAGCAGCAGAGGCACATGGGCTTCCATAATGCACCGCTCACGTTCCACATGGAGTTAGGGTTTAGGGTTTAGTCAGGGTTTAGGAGTTAGGGTTTACTGCTGCTGGCGTCCCTCTAGCTGCAGCGCCTGCTTTGCTGCTTCCTTGGTCTGCATGCAATCTGCAGCAAGCCTCATCTCAGCATCAGCAGCAGCGGCAGCAAGCATCTGCTGCTCCTGTTGCAGGCGGTATTCGCGTTGCCGCAACTGCAGCAGCAGCAACAGCAGCAACAACAACAGCAGCATGCAGCACCTCCCACCGTTAGTACATTCGAATGATCCAGGGAGAGAGGGATTAGGGTTTAGGGTTTGGTGAGGGTTTATGGTTTGATTAGGGTTTAGGGTTTGCATGCATGAACTGCACCTCCAACGCCTTCTGCTGCAGCTGCTCAGTCATGACTCGCAGCTGCTGCTGTAGCTGCTGCAGCTGCTGCTTGCGCTGCTGAAGCTCCTGCAGTGTACGTACACCCCACAGAGACGCACGCAAGAGTTGCTAGGCTGCAGCACCGGTTGCTGCTATAGCAGCAGCAACAGCAGCAAAGATGAAGCCTGCTGCAGCAGCACTACTATTGTGTAAGTAAAAAACAGCACTCAGCAACAGCAACGGCTGCAAACGGGACGGCAGCAGGTGCGGGAGCAGCAGCAAGAGCAGCAGCAGCAGCAGCAGCAGCAGCAGCTGCAGCAGCTTGCCTGAGCTCTTTGTTGTTCTCCTCGAGCAAACTCCGCTTCCAGCTGCTGGCGCATTGCCGTCTCTGCCCGCTGTGAACACAAACCCTAAACCCTAAACCCTAAACCCTAATTTCTAAACCCTAATTTCTACGCCTTTGAAGGGGCATGCTCCCTCGCATCCTACACTTAAGAAAGACCTGCTCAGCCAAGGGTTTAGGGTTTAGGGTTTAGGGTTTGAGGTGACCCGCAGTTGCCGCTCCGATTCAAGTTGATGTTGGATCTTCCAAACCTCCATCTGTCCGTCGCCTTCTGAAGCAACCTCAAACCCTAAACCCTAAACCCTAAACCCTAAACCCTAAAGCTAACCTCGCTGAGGCCGAGCTAAGGGTCTAGCATTAGGACGCCTTTGTGGTTTACGGATAAGAAAGTTTCAGGCGTTTTGGGATTAGATGCACTAAGGGTTTAGGGTTTAGGGTTTAGGGTTTGGGGTTTAGGGCTTAGGGCGAGACTCCTCACCGAGCCCTTGAGGTGCTGGAAATGGGGTTGATGCTGCTGCTGCTGCTGTTGCTGCTGCTGCTGCTGTTATTGCTGTTGTTGTTCCTGCTGGTGCTGCTGCTGCTGCTGCTGTGGCCGCGTTTTCTGCTGCGGTTGCTGCTGTTGTTGCTGCTGCTGTTGCTGCTGTTGTTGCTGCTGCTGCTGCTGACGGGGAATGCAGATGCTCCAAGTAAAGCTGGAGGTGAATCTCGCCTGCGGAGAGCGTACAACCGCACAAACCCTAAACCCTAAACCCTAAACCCTAAACCCTGGACCCTAACATCCCAGTTATTAATATCAGAGGGTACTGAGCGCGCTTACCTTCAACCAGCGGAAGCGTCCGCTGCTGCTGCTGCTGCTGCTGCTGCCGCTGCAGCGGCAGCCGCAGTCCCAGCATTTGGTAGTTGTGGGGCGCAGCAGCATCTGTCAGCAGCGGCTGCTGCAGCAGCGGCGAGAGGTCAACGCGGGCTTCCCCTAGGCAGCAATCGGTTGCTGCTGCCACCCCGCTGCTGCTGCTGCTGCTGCTGCACACCTGCAGCAGCAAAGGTGCTGAAGCAAGAGACTGCTGCAGCTGTTCGGCTGTGGCTCTCATAGTATACTCGCACAAGCCGTCGGGCAGCTCTACCTGCAGCAGCAGCAGCAGCAACAACAACAGAAGTTACAGTAGCAGAAGCAGCAGCAGCAGCAGGAAAACAAACAGAAGAGGAGACACATTTAAGAAGCGCAACTCTTGCAGCCATCATACGCCTGAGCAACTAAACTGAGCAGCAGCAGCAGCAGCAGCAGCGACAAAAGCAGCACGCGATGGGCAGGCGCAGCGCTAGCAGCAACAGCAGCAGCAGCAACAGCAGCAGTGAAGCGAACCGCATTTCCTGTGCTGCAGTTGACGGGGGGCGAGGAGGTGAAGAGATGCTTGCTGCCGAAGGGTGAATAGTTGTAGTGTACATACACCTGGTGCAGCAGCTGCTGCAGCAACGCAAATCCTGCTGCATCGAGGACCTCAGCAGCACGCAGCTGGACAGAGACGCAGTCAATGTATAAACGCCAGTACTGCTGCTGCTGCTGCTGCTGTTGCTGCTGTTGTGGCTGCTGTTGTTGCTGCTGTGGCTCCTGTTGTTGCTGCTGTGGCTGCTGCTGTTGCTGCTGCTGCTGATGGGGGGCAGCAGTGAGGCAGCCTCCCTCTGCTGCGATTGTTTGCTGCTGCTGGTACTGCAGCGGCAGCATCAACGGCTGCTGCTGCAGCATATCTGCTGGGGGCTCGTTG